AACAAACTAGTGGTTACCAATGAGGACAGGGATGAGGTGAGGGGCAAGATGGGGTAGAGAATTAAGAGGTACAAACCATTATGAATAAAATAAATAAGATATAAGGATGTATTGTACAACACAGAGAATATATCCGATACATTATAACAACTTTAAATGGAGTTTATCCTATAAAAAAAATTGAATCACTATATTATATACCTGAAACTAATATTATATTGTAAATCAACTATACTTTAATAAAAATAAAAAGCAGTGATGGGAATTTTCCTCTTTTTTTTCCATAGAGGTTCTTTATAATGTCCACAATAGAAACTTCAGCTATTTTCCAAAGAACTGAAACTAAACTTAATTCAGTGTTTTTCTTTTTTTCTCCTAAACAGGTCTCTTTGTACACTCCTACTATCAAAGAGAATATGTCACATTTGAAGAAAAAAATTAACAGGTAAAATTAATTGGTATATTTAACTAAACAGTTCATCCAACATGACACATTTGTATAAGAATAATTCATGTAACAATAAATTATGTCAAAACAGAAAATATCCTTAATTATTCCTCATATGAATTTAAGAAACACTTTGTTTGGGACTATATATTAGGTACTGGGCTAAGAGTGCTAATCCCCTATAAGATAGGTATTAATATTCCCATTATGCAAATGAAGAACAGAAGTTCAGGGAAGTTTAAAAATTTGCCCAGAGCACAGAAGCTAGTAATTAGCAAGGCGAAAATTTGAACCCAGGTCTCACTGCAATTCCTACCCATCACCCTGTTTCACCTCATATAGGTATTAGGAAAGCCCCAAAGTATCGTAAGCGCTGCCAAAGGACCAACCAAGACATTTAAAACAGGTGTGGCAGCTGTGAATATTGGAAAAACTTTAGCTGTCTGTAAACACAATCAGAAATTTTCATGTTTAGTCAGTCAATTAACAGAGTTATACCCACTTCACTATGTAAGTTAAAATCTGTTTGCCATAAACAAATAGACCCCCTTAAGATATTAAGGATTTTCTGACCTTCCCCATTAGGAAAAAAAAAAAAAAAGCTTGTGCTAGGGTTGTGTGGTATGGAGGAAAGAAGACAGCCTTTGGAGACAGACAGAAATGGTTCTAGATTCTATTCTGACACTTACTAGCTATGTAGGTGCATGACACATCCTAAGACTCAGTTTCCTCATCTATAAAACAGATAATAATATCTTCTTCACTGAGTTATGGTGAGGATTAAATGAATAAAATGCTGACAAATAACAGATGTTTAAATATTATTTCTTTTCATCATAGTGTCTTTCACTTAATACCTTAGAATTAATAAATAAGAAGATATGTATATATTTGGTCAATACATAGTACTAAATAAAAAGTAAATCTATCATAGGACAACCCTTCTTTCTAGAATACATATGTACATTAAGCTCAAATATTCCTTTATGTATGATTTACTATGTGACTATGTCCTGTTTATTAGGGATCGTTTATCATAAGGTCTATAGTTCTTCAAAACATATATTTCTCCTGAAGTGTTTTAGTCACTATGAAACATATTTATCCTCTTGCAACTTCAATCTGTTTAATTAGATTACTTTTGTATTATCATCACTACAACTGCATACATATTAAGGATAACCACTCTCTAAGACAATTTTGAAAATAACTACTTCAGGAACTTTGCAGTGCACTTTTATCCCAGTAAAATGCAATAAGGAAAACGTTCAAATAGGAGAATATGTAATAACTTACATAGAGCTCAGGGTGAAGAACCTGGAAAAAAGTACTTGAACTTTGATCTCTCATTTGCCCATTCTTTAGATAAAATACTCGCTCCCTTTTGGACTTGGAAAATGTAAACAAGTATCCATATAAGGGTTAAAAGTCGTTTAACTTTCAAAGTGTGCCTAAATGCAGCCAGTTCAGACTTGTTTTTGATAAAAGTATATGTGTTGTCACAAGGTTCTAACGTTTCAACTCTATTCTTGAATTGCTATCTTGTAAAACAAAAATGTTCTGGTAGCAAAGATTACTCTGAATGGTGGATCAAGAGAAGAAAAAGGAGACATTATAAAAGGAGAAGCAATGTTTAAATGAACTAATAAAGAGTTTCAAGTAAGTGTCATTTGGGGAGAAAAGGTAAAACTCCGTGGTCTTTTGTCTTGGCTGAAAGAAATATCAGATAAATTTACTTCTCAATCACAATAAAATTAGACTCTGTAATTTGTATACCTATGTCACTGTTTTTAAAGTTTTTAATTACTATGTCAACAGCCTTAATGCAAACATGACTTTAATATAACACTCTGAACTTGGGGGAAAATATACATTGATTGATCAATCAACAGATATAGACAGAAAATGATATAATCTTGGCGAACATACCAAATGATGATATAAGAAGTTATTTTTGAAAATTTCATTAAAAAATTATATGGAAGTATACACTAAACTGTTCACGGTGGGCACTGAGGATTTGGGGAGTGGGGTAGGAAGAGGGGAGTTAAACAATTTAAAATTCTGTGCTTTTTCTTTTTTTAAAATAGGAACACATTATGTTTATACTTCAGACAAACTTTAAGAGTGTTTTTTAATTAAATTGTCATTATCCTTTAACCCAACTGTATAAACAACACATGGAATAAGGAACTATGGGGCAGAATTCTCACTGACATCAATATGGCAGGTAATAAATGCATAGGTTATTTGATCTTAAATGATCTCCAATAAAAGATGTCTAATCGCCTAATGTTTTTCACCATAAATGTTTGCTGAGTTCTCTCTTGTTCTCTGTACTCCGTCACTTTTGTATATACGCCTCCTTTTATCTACACTTTTTCAAATACCATTTTCTTCCTCACAAACTATTCTCTTAGAGAAAAACTTTTAAAAATGGCAGCCCATGGGTGGCTTATAGGTAGACCACAGATGTATTTGGTTTGGCTAGAAAAATGTTTTCAGCATTTTTAAATTAGTTGCCAGTTTTGTGTGACGCCAATTTTGTCACACAAAATTCCAGATTCCCAGCTTCTCTTGAAAGATAAAAGATATGACAAGATAGACCCACATTCCGAGTTGCTTAGCTGTTCCTTTGGCCTGGGTGTGTGCTCTTCAGCTCGCGTACCCTGTGACCTCCCCAACAGCACGTCCAGGGATTTGGCTCACCTCTTGCATTGTTTTTATGTCTTATGGTGAACAGGAAAATTACTTCTTACTTATACCCTTCTTTTTCTTTTATTTTTTTAAGTTGGGGGGTGGGCAATGAAAGAAACATCAAGGAAGCCAGATGTTTCAAGGGAAAATAAAATGGGAGAAGGCATATTTCTTTCTGGAAATGAATACAGCTTTAGGGCTTCCCTGGTGGCACAGTGGTTAAGAATCCACCTGCCAATGCAGGGGACACGGGTTCGATCCCTGGTCCGGGAAGATCCCACATGCCGCGGAGCAACTAAGCCCGTGAGCCACAACCACTGAGCCTGCACTCTAGAGCCCGCGAGCCACAACTGCTGAGCCTGCGTGCCACAATTACTGAAGCCCATGTGGCTAGAGCCCGTGCTCCGCAACAAGAGAAGCCACCTTAATGAGAGGCCTGTGCACCACAACGAAGAGTAGCCCCCGCTCACTGCAACTAAAAAGAAAGCTCACATGCAGCAACGAAGACCCAACACAGCCAAAAAATTACTTAATTAATTATTTTTTAAAAAAAATGAATACAGCTTTTCCTGTGCAGACAAAGGATGTCTATGTGGAAAGAATCAACTTTAATAACCACAAGAAACCTGCACAGGAATAGAGAAGAACACGAAAAAATGTAATAATTTGTTTTTAAGTGGGAAAAAATAAGTGATACTTTTGTGAAATGCAATTACACATTAAATGAAAGACTGTTTTCCTACATCTATTCACTTCACTCATTTGTTTTACCTATTGACCCTGTAGGTATTTGAGTTTGTTTCCCCATTTAGAAACACACCCAGACAGACGCACATCATCTACCCAGCCCTACGATGCCCTGGGGCAGTACACAGCAAAGGCTGTCCAGTCCAGCAGTGATTTTCCCCCCATCCCCCTCCTCCTCCTGCTCTGAACTGCACTTTGCAAAGATAAGGGAGCGCCTGTAAAAATTTCTATTAACTAACTCCATTTTCCTTCCTTCCACACAGGGCCTCTCTCAGTAGCCCCCCAGTTTGGCAAAACATCCACATTAAGAGCTGAGACCCTCCTTTGCTAAGATGGTTCTACTCATTTTACAAGGTCACAGGCCTTCAATTATAGCTGCAAACACTCAGGGCAGATCTCCAACCCTAGCTCGACCCCTGTGGGAGGAAGCCGATGACCTGTTCAGGACAGCAGCCAGACCTAACAGAGGCACCTACTGTCTGCTCAAAAGTCAGCAGCAGATAAGTAGCTACAGGGTGATGCCAGAAGTTCTCAAGCTCCCACCTTTGGGGGGAAAGAAAAGGAGCCTCTGATCAACCGTGTTTGAGTCAAATCTGCATCCCCAAGACCAATCAGTTTGGGACACAGATCAAGTGTTCAGCAAACATTTGCTGAACACAGAATGTGGCTCTACTCTTTCTGGCCGATCATGAGGAACCTATCTTTAACTCCCTGTCATTAGTTAGATCCAACTTCTAGTAACACTACAACTTTGTCTTATAGCCCACAAAGTGCTTCTACAAGAATTATCTCACTTGACTCAATCAGGGAAGTTGGGAGGTAGGTAGGGTTGGTTTTATAATATCATCTCCAATTTACATATGAGAAAACAACTCAAGAGAGCTTAAAGTGACCTCTTCAAAGTCAAAGAATGAGTCCTGGGCCTCGTGTTTACTATACTTTTATCCAAGCCACCATAAACTAGACATATAAGCAGGGAGACAAATCTAAAACTGTGAATTATTATGAAACTGTAGGCCTTTAGAGAGAAACAGATGTTACCCAAAACAGATGCTCTGTAACAAAAGCAATATTGAACAAATGGGGAATGCAATTAAGGAAAAAGAAATCAAGATTTTTTAAAATGTTTTTATACAGAAATATTTTACAAAGATTTTACAACATAGCAAATCATTATGTCATACTATAGAAAGGAGAAAAAGATTAAACTTCAAGGATAAGGAAAGTGCTCAGAGCAACATATTGCCGTCTCCATGAAAGTGCATGAACAGTTAAGGCAAAGTACCCCACTGGTACTGGCATGTTGCAAAATGACTTGTAAAACAGTTTTTACTTGTAAAATATATATACAAAAGGGTTTTTTTTTCCTCCATTTTTCTCAAAGATGTTTGAAAGGGATACATTTATGAACAGTCTTGCTCTACAACTAGGTAAAAATAACTCCTGGGTACAAAAGAGTAAAAGTAAAAATGCTCTACCAAGCATGTTAAAATAAATCAAATGATTTATAAAACAAAACCTTTCCAAGTTTGGGCTTGCTTTCTACATTTAACTTGCCAGGCTGAAGGCTAATTCCCTCATATTCCACGACAGAGATCATTAAGGATAGCAACGTGAGTTAAATCCAGAACTTGCCCTTCGTGTGACTTTTAACTTCTAGTTTCTATGGCCGAACCACTGGCATGTTTGAAGTCCTCATGCATTCACTGTGTTATAAATCTACTCTACAGCTTTGCTTCTATCTTCAGCTTACACAATAGCCATTTTATGAAGTGTTACATATGCTTAATACAATATTTTGCCCTAGCTGATAAGAAAAATACAAAGGTAGTCTCTAAAGTTAAACCATAAACCCTATTAGAGAATTCTAGTTAAGTATTTCATTTTTCCACATAGAGGTAAATCCCTTAACATCAATCGGATCAATAAGGATAATACTGGTTATCAAATTTTAATCTTCAAACTTGGAAGAGAATTTGTTTTTATAATATAACTGAGAATAAGATTTTTTTAAAAAGTAAATTAGCTAGACTTGAACAAGAGTGTTAGGGAAAACTGACATACCTGAATTCTAGTACAGATAATAAAAATCTGCCAAAGAATAACTTAATTCACATGACTAATCACTCTTTTATATAAAATTTTACCTACTCATGAGAAATAGGGAAAATCAGTGTTACTATTTTAGTCTCCATATTTAAACTGAGTTTTCCTTTCTCTATTTTTTTTCCACCCTTAAATATAAGGGAAATTAACCAGCTCATTTCTGCTGGCTCAAGTTTCCTAACTAGCTTTTAGCCCTCAAGGTATAGCTGTGGTAAAACCAGAGAGAGACACCGAGCCATTTATTGGAATTCTGAAGTACAAAATAGGCACATGTGCTCTACATAACCTAGTAACAGGGATAGCAACAGTTAAACTGTCTTACACATCTGATGTATTAGTTTGATTTGCATCTGTAACTTCTTTATCACTATGACCACAGACAAAAAGTTGGGAGCCCAGACTTTTCTGGGCAAATCGGAAATACATGATGTGGCCCATTGCCACAAAAGAGACTGAAATCAATACGAGCAAGCCAAAAGCTTCAGGATTTGGAGCCAGGATGACCATGATGAAATGCAGAAGATCAAGAAGATAGTTCATGGAGTTCTGTACACCATTTATAATGCCTCTCTCAGATTCGACTACATTTTCTTGCAGCAACTGTGTCACAGTTAAATCAAAGGACCAAAGACCTATAATAAAAGATAGTTTTTAGAGACTTAATTTTAACTTATAGCTGCACATTTCAGATTTACAGATTAAAAATCTGTTGACATGTGCAAAATACATACTTAACCCTATTACCTTCAAGTCACCATATGTATATTTATCATAGCCTAGCCTTAGAGAATTATTTTTCATTAATAAACACTGAGTTAAATTGTTTCAAGAAATTGTTTTTACAGCCACAAGACAAAAATAAGTCTAATCTACAAACTTCTTAATTCTGTTTTTCTGTGATTATTCATACTGTGAAAGCAAAACTCTGAAATCAGAGACATAATAAATCCTATTAAAATTACTAGTATTTTTAAAGTTTAAAATGAGTAGACCTAATATATTGTTATCGTTGAAGTGTAAGGAAACTTTAAACCATTAATACATTTACTGTTTGGGTTCTAAAGCCCCTACAATAAAGCTGTCTTGCTTAAATATTAATGTCTTTGATAAATTAATGAACTGCTTTGTATCACAGGATAAATATGGTTTCATTTCAAGAACGATTTCAGGCAGAGATAATTCATCAGTACTCTATTAATGATTCCTTAAATTTTACTTTGTAAGAGGTCTTTACATTATGTTTCCTTCCAGAGCTATAAAATCCATTTGTTTGGCAAAGTACACAATAAACAAATGTCAGCTAGAGAAGACCTTTGAAGGATTTTTTTTCCCTAACTACTGTCTTATTTTTTTTTTAATTTAAACCCCAACCCCTTTTTTTTTACCTTGTCCCATTGACATATTTATTAAATTACAGTCCTTTTGGTAAAGTTATAGCAATATAAAGACTCTAAATTACTAAAAGTATAATTATTATTGATAATATGTTTTGAAAAATTAAGTAAACTACATTAAAAGAGTAAGATATCCATTTAGTAAAAATTTTCAAGGCCTAACCATGTTTTAAGAAGGTATACACACACACAAATATAGATTTTTTTAACTATAAAATAAAAATTTCATAATAAGTGACTGGATTATACATAAGGATAAATAGTGGATCTTGCTTAAATTAACATTCAGGGAAGAGTTTAGACCACTTACTGTTGAATTATCTGAAACCACACTGCAAAAAGACACTTTAGTTCATTAATATACAAAAAGAGATTTCTTACCGATTCTAGCAGCAATGACGCCTGCGAACAGCAGACTGACAGAGATTATAGGCACAGATTTAGGACTCATCTCTGGGACAATGTTAGCAGGATCAGATCCGTTTGACATGTGCATATCAGTTGTAGAGATGATTTCAGATATTTTTGTAGGTGTAATTGAAAGTGGTTCTGTTTGAATGAACCTAGAACGGATATCTTCAAAAGGAGAAACAGACAAGTCCAAGGGGCTTCCAGGCATGAACACGGAGATCACACACAAGATCAAACAGGAAAGCTGTGCAAATCCTGAGATCAGACCAGTCCGAACCAGGCCATATCTGTGACGTAGCCATGTAAAAGCCACAGTTCCCATTATTCCAGTTACGGCTGACGCTCCCATCAAAATACTGAGGATGGACCCGCTCAGCCCCTGAGTGTAGGCGTACCCTGTAGTGATGCAATCAAAGCCCAGGACAGTCATATAGAGGAAAGCAAGACCCATGCCTGCCAGGAACACCGGCTGGTTGTAATAGGAGACCCATCCATCTCGGAAGGTGCGGAAGGGCTCAGCCATCTGGGAGGCACAACTTAGCTCTTGCTCATGTTCAAGTTCATGGATGTCAGGGTCTTTCTCACCCATTAGATGAGTTCCCTCCAGGGATTTTGGCTCAGTTTCTGTTAATAAAAGACATTATTATTTGAGGGAGGGGACATGGGGGAAAAAGCCAACTATCTTAGTATTTTTCCTTCTCCCCTCTCCCTCACCCGTGGAGGGTATCACCCTTGGATACCCTTGGCTACTACAATATAAAATGTATTTTCTTTTACTCATCTAAGAATTCCAGCCGAGGAACAATCTCCAAGTATTTATGTTAAAGAAACAAAATACTATTGATACTTCTCCCCTCCTCTCTTCCCCTCTCTCTCAGAAACTATAATCCCACCAAAGTAAACAGCAGGAAAACAGATAACATATAATAATTGTCTGGGGAAACACAGAATCTTATTTTCTGGGACCCTTTTAAGATTACATTTGTTCAGAAGACCAACTTCCTCTTCTCTTCTTGAAAAATGCCCACCTCATGTCCTCACTCCCTTCCACTGTCTTACAAATGGCGTGTTAACTCCCTTCTTTATAGACTCCTAGGAATTCTCTTGTTCTCTTTCTCCCACTGTTCTTCCCATTCCTATGGCTCAATTTTGCCCAGCCCTCCCTCAATGAATTGCCCCTCTGTGTCTGCTGTTCCTGTTAAGGAAAAGGGTCAGGGGTCCCATTCCAACTCCCTGAGGTTCAACCCAGAGTTGCTCCTTGGACCGTCAAGAGCCTGGGTTCTGACTTACTACCACATTGATATATTTAACCTCATGCAGGCCTTCAGTGGCAACTAAACCTGATATAAATTCAAAATTATTTTGGCCTTAACCAATGTTTAAGGTCTGAAAATAAGAATAAAGGGATTAAACATTTTGTTGAGTTTACCTTTGTATACATTCAGCTGTTTCAACTCAGTTTCCTCTTTAGGAGCAGCTTTCACAGCTAGAGCAGGGGTTTTCTGATAAACTTTCCAGAGCAGAAAGTACTCCACACACATGGATACCAAATTCCATCCCGAAATGAAACCACAGCCAATGACTGGGGAGCCAAATGTCATAATCTGGCCTACAGCCATGGGGGCCAAGATGTTGGTTAACTGGTCAATCCTTCGTATTGTAGCATTCATATCTACAGAGGTAGGCGAAAGAGGCAGATAAGTGTGCAAATCTATCAAAGAGAGACTGCCCACTTACATAATACAACTCATAAACTAAGAGTAGAGACTCCTAAGATGTAAACTTCTAAAAGCATTCTGCAAGCAAACCATTTTGTTAGCAAATCATTTGTTGTTTGGATCAAGTCATATTAAATCTGCCTCAAAAATCGTCATTCCCTTGGGATTATATAAATGAGCCTGACAACAGCTTTTAAGAAATGAATTCGATAGTAACTCTACATTCATTTATTTCAACAAGCATTTATTAAATGCCTATTATGAGCTAGGCACCATTCCGGCACCATAGCAAAAAATGAAGAATATCCTTCCCTGTCTTCATGAAGTTTACACTCCCAAGGGAAAACAAAAATAATAAATCAACAAGCATGTAAATACAGAGCATGTCAGATGTTCATGAAATACTGTAGTGAAAAATAAAGCAGAAAAAAAGGGCGTAGAGAGTGCTCAGGGGAAGGGGGAAATTTCAGTTTTATATACGGCAAGGTCAGGGAAGAACTCACTGAAAAAAAGAGAGCATCACAGCAGAGGCGTGAAGCAGCAGGAGGCAAAAGAGTGAGTCATCCGGATATCAGGGAAAAGACAATTCCAGACCAAGGGAAGTGCAAAAGTCCTGGGGCAGGAGGAGTTTGCCCAGAGGAACAGCGAGGAGGCCAGTAGGGCTGGAGCAGAGTGAGGAAGGGAGAGGATAGGAAGAGATGCGGTCAGAGAGGAGAGAAGATTGGCCCAATCATGTAAGGTCTTAGTCTATTACTCAAACTTCAGTTTTTACACTGAATGACTCAGGAAGCCTTTGGAAGTTAAGGTACGGAGAGGTGGTATCACGGGACATATTTTTAAAGGTTTATTTTGGCTGCTATGATGAGAAAACAGTGTAAAGTAAGTGTGTGTGTGGGGGGGGTGTAGACAAGCACAGAGGCAGGGAGACAGGCGGGAGATGACGTGGCATGGAGCAGGACAGGAGCAATGGAAGTGGAGAAGTAGATACTGGATGTACTTTAAAGTAGAATCAAGAAGCTTGAAAACAGATTAGGTATGCTATGCGACAGAAAGAGAAGTATTAAAGTTTTTACCCTGAGCAACTATTGGAAGGACAGAGTTTCCACTTACTGAGAAAGACAAAACTTCAGAAGAATCAGGTTTTGGACAAAAGAATAAGCATCTGGTTCTAGAGATGTTGATACATCTCTAGAGGCCCCGTCAAGCAGACAGTTAGTCATACAGGTCTGGGGTCTAGGGAAGAAGCATGTGCCAGATTTGGGAGTCATCGGCAGCTTGAGTTTTGAAGCAATGACACCGGATGAGATCACCAGGGGAGTGAGGGTAGATGAGAAGAGACAAGGTCTGAGGACTGAGTCCTGGGCATGCCAATGTTCAGAGGTCACGAAGATGAGGAGGAATCAGCAAAAGAGGAGAAAAAACAGGAGAGCAGGGTGTCCTAGAAGCCAAGAGGTAAGAGTGTTTCAAAGAGAGGGGAATAATCAACTGGTAAGTGACGCTGGTAAGTCAGCGAAGAGGAGCACTGACAATCAGCTCTAGATAGGTCACATGGAAGGTACTGAGGACCTCAAAAAGAATAGTTCTGGTGGAGCAGTAAGGGCAAATGCCTGATTGAAGTTGGTTTAAGAGATTGGTGCCAACTCCAGGGGACACCATTTCTATTATATTTTAAGTGAGTGGCACCCCCTGGATTCACAATGTGAATGTTGCCCCCCTGGCATTATGGAAAGCAAGGCCCTGACCAAGGAAAGAAATTGGAAAGAGTGAGCAAAGATATTTCTTTTTGTTAAGTTTTGTTCAAAAGAAGGACAAAGAAATGGGGTGACAGAGGGGTAAAGACAGGGATTTTTAAGATGAGAAAAGTTATAGCATGTTTATATGCTGATGCAAATGATACAGTAGATGAGAAGGGATGGAATCTGAATCTACTGCACAAGTGGCAGAGCTGTTCTTAGGAACGCAAGCAATTCAACAGTGTAGGTCACATAAACGGTCTCAGGTACAAGTAGGAAGAGTGATGTGAAGGTGGGAGCACACGAAAGTTCTCTCCTTATTTTTCCATTTTCTCAGTAGAATACAAAGCAACGTCATCAGTGAAAGTGAGGATGGGAGAGGAGGTACTGAATGTATGAGGAGAAAGGAAAAAGTGAGAAATAGTGCTTTAGGAAAGTGGGAGAAGGAAGGGACCAAAGAAAATAGTATGATCATCTGGCAGCATGAGAGGGCCAACTTGAACCCAATGGTCATGAGCTTTAAGAGACAGCAAAGTTGTACGTTTTTTACCAGCCATGTGCTACTGTGGAGAGCTGGATTTAAGCAGGGTCTTATGAAAGGAAAGTGACAAAAGGAGAGGAGGCCAAGTGAGCTGAGGGTATACACTAGGAGGCATTCAAATGGGTGGAACAACTGACCTTGGAATTTAAGCTGGGTAAGGAGGAGAGACAAGAAAGGTCATGAGCAGTAAAAAGGTCGTGGAATTAATGGCTTGTAGGTGCCAACCAGGTTGGAGCATGGCTGGGGTACCAGGAGGAGTGAGCTGGAAAGACAGGAGGTATAGTTCAAGTCTTGGATGCTGGAGATTGAGATTATGAAAAGGGAGGGTTTAGTGGTGATACCAAGGTCTAGGGTATGACCATGGGAATGTAGCTGAGTCAGAGTAGAGGACAAGATGAATAAAGGAGAGGAAGTCAAGAAAATAACCTACTTTCTCATTCTCTATCTCACGGAGTAGAGTGAAAATTATTGAGACAAGTCCTCATCAATCATGTGGGGTGCTTTAAGGGAAAAGCAGTATGTGACTAATAAGTACATTAATAGAAAACTGCCATTATTCTTTCTCTAGTTCTTCCTGGTCCTCAACTGCCTTCCAATTAGTCCTATGTGTGCAGAATGCTTATATGATAACAGGAGAACTTTGACATATTTCACCTTTCGCTTGAGAGGCAAAGGCGGTTTTCACTGATCTTACACACAGCCATTTGTTGCCATGGCCTCATTAACTTCCATCTGCCCCTACTAATAAGTTCCTAACAGGGAAGTGTAGAATTGATCCAAATAACTCAATAATCTGAATCCAAAAATCAAGTACTAATGAAAATATACTCTTGGATCTGAAGGCCCCAGAACAAAAACAAAATTTAGTTAAAATGATTTGTTAATCTTTCACTACCTCCATTTTCAAGTGCTCATGAAGCTTCCTAATGCCACAAATTTCTATCTTTTATTTAGAATTTAGAAATTTCTATCTCAGGAAGCTAATAATGTTTAGATGTAATGTAGTGTCAGAAAACAGATTTTATTTTTCTGAAGCAGAATGAATGAAATAATAATTTTGAAAAAGACCCAATCATTTTACTGTTAACAGCCTAGAGAAGAATTGGTCCTCTGAATGTGTAAACATATTCTTTTTGCAGGTTTGTATTTATTCTTACGCTAACACACAAATCTGTGCTCATTTAATTCCAATTTAACTGTTTTCAGTTACAGCTGTGGCACAGAGCATGACATTCAGTAACTACTTACTATTATAAAAGGTATATTACCTCTCATAGAATAATAATAAAAAACAGATTTGCTGAGCAAATAGTAGCTAGCAGGTTTGTCTACCTCAAATATGAAATCAATTTTCAGTCAATAGAGTTCAAACAAGAAAGTTATCTGTCGTACTTGATCAAGCCAACCAGTAGATGTTTCATTAGAATGGTGGACAAGAAAAACCTCAGAAGCTATTAATAAAAAGTGATTAACAAAGGAAATGAAGAAGAAAATAAAACAACAGATGGAATAAAAACTCAGGCAAAGGAAATGAGTTTCAGAGAGGTTTGACAGGTTAAGGGTCATGGCTCCAAAGAATGTTTTAATAAAACACTAAATCAAGTACCTAGACAAATTAGTTAACAGATTAATTAACAGTATTCATGTGGGAAACGAGCATCTTTCCTCGAGCTGTCTAAATTAGATGGTAACAGCTATATTTTGACCTGATGCCACTGGAGTTATAAAACTTTTCAACCTTCCAGGGAAAATTTCTCTTGTTCTTTACCCTCGGTGATACAACTTCCAATTTTAAAAACTACTCTGAAATCAAGAAACATTGGGATGAGGAAATGGGAGCAATTAACATCCAGCTCACAACCTTCCCTCTTTATGGGCACACCCCTCCCCCATCCCCCCCCCCGCCCCCCCCACACACACACCTCACAACGCACACCCTGCCCCGTCTCCTGCTTGGTTTCTAACAGTCTTTGCTGGCAACCTCAACAATTTCTCTTCTACTTCTCCTTTACCCTCCTCCTTTTTTTCTGTTCTGTAACTCTGCATTCTAACAGGAATGGTACCAAAAACCCATGGTTAGAGCCTTGCTGACCCTCGGGATGGAAGAAGTTTCTGTTTCCTGTTTTGAAGCATGGTTTTTAATTAATTTTAAAACAAACATGGAGGTCAAAACCTGAGGAAAAACAACATGGAAGTTTTCCTTCATTAGGCTACTGACCCGTTCTAGGGGCTGGATTTGAAACAGCACCGCTTCCTAAGCTAATTCGTAGTGGACAAGAGTTCAACAGGCAGCTTACTTCCTTTCTTAAATTTGAGAAACTCCAGAAGGTTAGAAAATAGACTGGTTAGCCTGGATTTTTCCACTCTGCAATAATTCCTCAAATAAAGGACAGCTGAGAAATGGCCAGTCATATTTTTGTTATTTTTCTGGAATATCACTTTGTAGTCAGAAAGATCCCAGAAAGTTATGTGAGAAAGAAAATCATCTTAAAAGCCACTTTTTTCCCCAAATACATTTCAACAGATATATATATGATCTGTTTTCAAAATATATCTTTTTTGTGCCCTTTGAATTTTAAAACATGGACATGTATTACATCTGTAAAATTGCACACTAAAAGAGAAAGTAAATAACAGGGAAAAAACACCAAAAAAAAAAAAAAAGGACAAAGTCTTATCTTTTAATTCCACGTGACAAAAAAGAGAGATGGAATTATTTCCTATTAGTAAATGATCACAGGAAGAAAAATCAGTGAGAATCACTACTTTAGCTCCAGAGAGAATTTCCTGCAACCCAGACTCACATGTGTTAATAAATTCATCTTCCACACTCACCATCCTCTAAAATCACTGTGGTATTTCTATCTGGAGCAGTATTATTACTGCTACCACAAAGTGATGACTTTTAAGCAAATCCTTCATTTTCTTCATTTAGACCTTCCACAGATTTTGTACCCTTTCTCTCAACCTCCTTTCTACCATTTTTTTTTTTTGAAACCACGTGTCTAGTCAAACAAAGTTGCTTGCTGACCCCCGTACTCAATCTTGCCTCTGTGTCCTGATAAGCCACTGAAGTCATCAGGAATGGTTTCCTTGTCAGTCAGGATGGTTGGGAAATGTGTTTGTGATACCCATTATCTCAATGACCAGCAGAGTTGACTCAGCTGACCTGATCGGTAGATAGGTGTAGCCTTCCTCCTTTACTCTGTGTAATTTCAATCCAAGTTGTGTCTGGGTGCTGTACTGGGGGGCAGGTGGGGAATATCGAGTGAGGTAGGTCATTCTGAGCCCAAGTAATCTTGAGGTAATTGACGTGTTGCTTTGTAAGCACTCTTCAGACTTTCTTTGCTCCTCTTGTATATGTTTCCAATGGACAACTAAGATGCAAGCTTTTTAAAAACCCATGTTCTATCCTGTATTTCTTTAGTATTCATAATAGCAGTTACATAACACCACACATAATGTAATAAAAGTTACCAATTATGGCTTTAAAGTTGAAGGAATTCACTTCTAGAGTCTCTCCTAGAATTAAGTTGTTTCCATTTGTTTGGATAAACACAATATCCATAGTATAACCAGTAAGTACGGGTAATAATATCCACAGTATGACTGTTAAAATCACAAGTCAGATTTTCACTGTTCTAAGTATTAAGAAAACATTTAGAAACAGTTAACAGAATTTCAAAGAAAGAGCTCAAAAGAAATGTTCTTCTATTTCAGGTTTGCATAGAATAAAAGAGAAGGTCACTATCCTATAAATTAGCTTCATAACAGTGAGGTAAATCTTTGCACTGAGACAGACAATGTTGTAAGAAAAAGACTATGACTTCAATTTATTATTCTTAAAAAGTACTCGGAGAAAAAGGCTTAAGCTTCATTTACTACCACTGATTTAAAGTGAATCCTGATAAAACCCATTTGGTAGAAAGAGAAAAGCAAATTACCTGCTAGTTTGCTTCTGTCGTTTCCTGCAACAACAACAATCCAATCCCTTTGGATTGTGATTGCAGTAGCAGTACTGGCCAGGTTTGCAATATTTGCAATAGTGATGATCAGGATATAGCATGAAGTCTAAGGAATTACAGGAAAAAATTATTAAAATGTCAGTTTTACCATACTGTACCTACCTCACTGTACAATATAGTTTAAAATGGTCTTTGGTAACATAATAATAAAATTTTTATTTTAATTTCATTTCATAAAATCATAAGAAATCATTCTACTTTGTACACATGAAACAATAAACACCAGTTGTCAAGTTAAAGGGCATAATGTCTTTCTAATCTGTATCATGTGTGGTACGCATAATACAAAAAATTTTAATAGTCATATGCACATTTATGTCACATAGTTATCATGAAGTGTTAACATAGGGGTGGTTTTTAATTTTCCCCACAAATATGTCCTTTGGAAAAAACAGTGACGGGGAAGTGAGAAGACTTGAATTTAAATCAGAGTTCTGACACTTTCCAGTTGCATGACAATGGGCAATCAGCTATCATCACTTTGTCTTACTTTTTTCATCAACAAAATGAAGGCAATAGACTAGAATATTTCTTGTCCTACCTGGCTTTGAAACTCTACAATATCAATCCAAATATACCTAAGCAGATTAAATAGGAATATCAAATTCACTGCTTTCCACTATACCCATCTCTCTCCTCTTTTCCATCAAGCTATCATGAAATCAGAGTGTGGGAAGTTATCTAGTCCACGTCCTCAAACAGAAATACCACTTATTATTAGGAGAACACAATCATGACTGATTTATATACATATATATATACCATTTCTTAAATGGTGTGAAAAAATTACAGGTTAATACTACTGAGCTTAAAACTAGCAACTGATTTATGTAATAAACTCTTAGAACTGCCATTAAAAAACAATCAGGAAGGGGCTTCCCAATACTACTGAGCTTAAAACTAGCAACTGATTTATGTAATAAACTCTTAGAACTGCCATTAAAAAACAAACAGGAAGGGGCTTCCCTGGTGGTTCAGTGGTTAAGAAACTGCCTGCCAATGCAGGGGACATGGGTTCAAGCTCTAGTCCGGAAAGATCCCACATGTCGCAGAGCAACTAAGCCCATGCGCCACAACTACTGAGCCTGCGCTCTAGAGCCTGTACTCCACAACAAGAGAAGCCACCGCAATGAGAAGCCCACGCACCACAACCAAGAGTAGCCCCCGCTCTCCGCAACTAGAGAAAGCCCGCACACAGCAACAAAGACCCAATGCAGCCAAAAATAAATAAAAAAATAAAACAAAACAAACACGAAAACAACCAATAGAATGAAATTTAAATTCAAACAATACTTAATGAAAGCCTGTTAAGGGCCAAAAGACAAAACAAGACAAAAATGGTAGGGGATATTAAAATAGACACAGAGATAAAAATTAACAGGCCCTAATTCTTAGAAAGGTATAAACTTCCAAGACTGAACCAGGAAGAAATAGAAAATATGAACAGACCAATCACAAGTAATGAAATTGAAACTGTGAATAAAAATCTTCTAACAAACAAAATCCAGGACCAGATGGCTTCACAGGTGAATTCTATCAAACATTTAGAGACGAGCTAACACCTATCCTTCTCAAACTCTTCCAAAACATTGCCGAGGAAGGAACACTCCCAAACTCATTCTCTGAGGCCACCATCACCCTGATACCAAAACCAGACAAAGATACTACAAAAAAAGAAAATTACAGACCAATATCACTGATGATTATAGATGCAAAACTCCTCAACAAAATACTAACAAACAGAATCCAACAACACAATAAAAGGATCATACACCATGATCAAGTAGGATTTATCCCAGGGATGCAAGGATTCTTCAATATATGCAAATCAATCAATGTGATACACCATATTAACAAATTGAAGAAGAAAAACCATATGAACATCTCAATAGATGCAGAAAAAGCTTTTGACAAAATTCAACACCCATTTATGATAAAAACTCTCCAGAAAGTGGGCATAGAGGGAACCTACCTCAACATAACAAAGGCCATATACGACAAACCCACAGCAAACATGAATCTCAATGGTGAAAAACTGAAAGCATTTCCTCTAAGAACAGGAACAAGACAAGGATGTCCACCCTCACCACTATTATTCAACATAGTTTTGAAAGTCCTAGTCATGGCAATAAGAGAAGAAAAAGAAATAAAAGGAATACAAATTGGAAAAGAAGTAAAACTGTCACTGTTTGCAGATGACATGATACTATACATAAAGAATCCTAAAGATGCTAACAGAAAACTTCTAGAGCTAATCAATGAATTTGGTAAAGTTGCAGGCTACAAAATTAATGTGCAGAAATCTCTTGCATTCCTATACACTAATGATGAAAAATCTGAGAGGAAAATTAAGGAAACACTCCCATTTACCATTGCAACAAAAAGAATAAAATACCTAGGAATAAACCTACCTAGGGAGACAAAAGACCTGTATGCAGAAACCTATAAGACACTGATGAAAGAAATTAAAGATGATACCAACAGATGGAGAGATATTCCATGTTCTTGGATTGGAAGAATCAATACTGTGAAAATGACTACACTACCCAAAGCAATCTACAGATTCAATGCAATCCCTATCAAATTACCAGTGGCATTTTTTACAGAACTAGAACAAAAAAATCTTAAAATTTGTATGGAGACACAAAAGACCCCAAATAGCCAAAGTGGTCTTGAGGGAAAAAAATGGAGCTGGAGGAATCAGATTCCCTGACTTCAGACTATACTACAAAGCTACAGTAATCAAGACAATATGGTACTGGCACAAAAACAGAAATATAGATCAATGGAACAAGATAGAAAGCCCAGAGATAAACCCATGTACCTATGGTCAACTAATCTATGACTAGGAGGCAAGGATATACAATGAAGAAAAGACAGTCTCTTCAATAAGTGGTGCTGGGAAAACTGGACAGCTACATGTAAAAGAATGAAATTAGAACACTCCCTAACACCATACACAAAAATAAACTCAAAATGCATTAGAGACCTAAATGTAAGACCAGACACTATAAAACTCTTAGAGGAAAACTTAGGAAGAACACTCTTTTACATAAATCACAGCAACATCTTTTTTGATCCACCTCCCAGAGTAATGGAAATAAAAACAAAAATAAACAAATGGGACCTAATGAAACTTACAAGCTTTTGCAAAGCAAAGGAAACTACAAACAACACAAAAAGACAACCTTCAGAATGGGAGAAAATATTTGCAAATGGACAAAGGATTAATCTCCAAAATATATAAACAGCTCATGCAGCTTAATATTAAAGAAACAAACAACCCAATCCAAAAATGGGCAGAACACCTAAATAGACATTTCTCCAAAGAAGACATACAGATGGCCAAGAAGCACATGAAAAGCTGCTCAACATCACTAATTATTAGAGAAATGCAAATCAAAACTACAATGAGGGGCTTCCCTGGTGGCGCAGTGGTTGAGAGTCCGCCTGCCAATGCAGGGGACACGGGGTCGTGCCCCGGTCCAGGAAGATCCTACTGCCGCGGAGCAGCTGGGCCTGTGAGCCATGGTCACTGAGCCTGTGCGTCCGGAGCCTGTGCTCCGCAATGGGAGAGGCCACAACAGTGAGAGCCCCGCGTACAGAAAAAAAAATACAATGAGGTATCACCTCACACCAGTTAGAATGGGCATCATTAGAAAATCTACAAACAACAAATGCTGGAGAGGGTGTGGAGAAAAGGGAACCCTCTTGCACTGTTGGTGGGAATGTAAATTGATACAGCCACTTTGGAGAGCAGTATGGAGGTTCCTTAGAAAACTAAAAACAGAATTGCCATATGACCCAGCAATCCCGCTACTGGGCATATACCCAGAGAAAACCATAAATCAAATAGTGCATTGCAGCACTATTTACAATAGCCATGTCATGGAAGCAACTTAAATGCCCATCGACAAATAAATGGATAAAGAAGATGTGGTACATATATACAATGGAATATTAGCCATAAAAAGGAATGAAATTGGGTCATTTGTAGAGACATGGATGAATCTAGAGACTGTCATACAGAGTGAAGTAAGTCAGAAAGAGAAAAACAAATATCATATATTAATACAGATATGTGGAACCTAGAAAATGGTACAGATGAACCGGTTTGCAGGGCGGAAATTGAGACACAGATGTAGAGAACAAACGTGGACACCAAGGAGGGAAAGCGGTGGCGTCAGGGGTTGGTGGTTGTGGTGTGATGAATTGGGAGATTGGGATTGACATGTATACACTAATATGTATAAAATGGATAACTAATAAGAACCTGCTGTTAGAAAAAAAAAAAAAGAACAAACCAAGCAAAAATCTAAACATCTTATAAATGTCTACTAGTTGCATTAAGTCAATTATGTAATCTGTTCCCTGCATTACCAAATTCTGTATATCAGTTTTAAATCAAATGCAGCACATTGTCTTTACACTGCATTCCATACTCTATTTTACACATGAACATGTTTCTGAGAAATTGCATTTAAAAAATGAAAAATGTAATACTATTTTTATAATTTCTTATATTACAAAAACAACCATACACTCTCATAGAAAAACTTGGTCTATAGCACAATATTATTTTCATAATGTATATAAAGCCCAAGTTCAGTCTGACAATAGAAACTCTCCTTCCTACACTTTTCAAACCTTCTCTGTGTGTTGCATACATCCATCACTCAGAGAAACTGTGCTTCCCCTATTTTCATGCCTTTATGAATGCCAGTCCATCATTCCAAAAATAAATTTTAAAAACGAAGAGGGATTGATGGGAAGATGGATGTGCCAATGGATAAATACATGATAAAGCAAGTATAATAAAATGGCAGAAGTAGAAACTAAGTGGTACGTATATGGGTGTTCAGTGGAGAATTCTTCTAACTTTGCTGAATGTTTGAAATATTTCATAATGAAATCTTGGGAGAATAACATCCTATTTTCAAGGCCCACCTAAATGGCCAACCCAGAACTCCATTTTTCTCGAAGGCACTTAATCATGCTACCATGTATCATAGTTATTATGTGTCACATCTAATCTCCCTACAGGATCCACACTTGAATCATTTTTCTATCATTCAAATGCATCTAATACAACTTACACACAATAATCATTCAACAAAGCGGAAGGAAATACTTTGACTACAGACTGAAAATATCACTGTTCTTTAGTAATACTACTAATAAAATTATCTTCAAATATTACAAAAAAAAAGTATCCTACTGGTTTTGACATGCTATGTTTAAATTTTTAAAATTATCTTTCCATTCTGAACATGTTCTAATTTCCATGCTGTTTTTTTCTCTGACTTCCATTTATTTCTGGTATCTTTAAATTTGTAAATATACAGTTATTAAAAAAAAAATTAACAGGCCCTATTTGTGAAAAGACACTCCCTCAAAGAGTTTTCATCTTTTACCACTAACAGACATTCAATTTTCTACCATCAAGAATCTTGTTGAGAACTTACAAGAACCCATCCATGGTACATGGTCAGAAGGTCTTTTTTATGTAAGAAAACCATCATCAGGATGATTCCACACAGGATGACCGAAACATTCTGGATCACCAGTGAAGTCTGGGCCACTATACAGAGAGAGAAACAAAGTTCATACACCAAAACATCTCAAAGGAGATGTTTTTATCCATACATCACTGTTCTACTGTATTAATACATATGCAAATTACTATAAGAAATAAAAATATTCCTGAAGTAAATTCTGCCTCAACTATTTCCAGTAGGGCCCAGCATACCACATCAGACCAGTAAAACTTGCAGACAGAATAAAGAACTACCCCTCATTTTTCCTGTTAGTTGAAGCCATTCATAATGACCACATTTTCATTTTCACAGTTTATTCACTTTAAAGTTTACTGTCATAAACAGAACTAATTAACTACATAAACAAGATCCACCTTTCAGGGCTTTGTAGCTTAGGCAAAAATAAGAACATGTAGGAGGTTATGGAGGAGGTTAAGTAAGAGGTCATGGAATCCATAACCTCCTAGATGGCAGGCTGAACTTGGTAAGATCGTATGGATAAATAGGAAGGACATATAAAAAATTGCCAAGAATAAAGCAGCAGTGTGTTCCTTTTACTAAAGTTATTTGCATTGTTATGAAATTCTAAACTACACCTTTTCTCACAGAAAATGCCAACTTCCTGAGACTGAGGCACCCATGTAGATAAAGGGCTGGCATAAGGACAGGTTAGGATACCAGGTAAGGACACCTTGTAGTCTTTTCTCTGCCACTCACGAGGGAAGATGATCTAGGGAAGAATACTTAATATCTCTTATGTCTGTGTCTATAAGGCGAGGATATAATACATACCTGCCTTCCTTACTTTACGGGGTCATTTTGATGCTCAAATAAAATACTTTGAAAGCACTTTGAAAAATACAGAGGGTTGTATATGTAAGGTATAATTACAGCTCTTGCCTTTAAGGACAGTAAAGCTCATTCTGGCTTGGAACATTATATCAAAGCCTTGAGACAAAACAAACTGCTTTCTGAAATTAATTTGAAATAAAATCCCAACATATAACTCATTCATTCATTGCACAAGGCTATTAAATATCAACTGAATGAGGTTCTTGGCTTTCAGGACCCCACAGACCAGAGGAAAGGTAGACATGTGAAAGGATAATTATAAGAGCATAAGTGCAATAGCAGAGGTATTAACAAAGCTTCATGGGAGTGCAGGAAAAAAAAGTGTCTCTGGTTAACTCAGTCTAGAGACATCAAAGAAGATTTTCATGGAGGTTGTCACATGAGTTGATTACATAGGATAAGTGCAAGATTGCTATCCCACCACACTCTTCTTCATCCAACTCAACATTCTATCCTAAACTACAATTTCAGTGCTCAACAGTCATAAGGTTAAAGGTCTCTATGTATAACATTCCCACATACATATTCCTATGTATAATGATGTAAAGAAGTAGAAATTGTTTTTCCAGGATACAAAACCTTTTTCTATATGTGTTTTGGTCTATTGATTCTCAAAATAGAAAAATGTCCATCTTGGCCATTTTACTAATAGCATCAAGTCCTGGAATTTGATAATCCAGCTGCTCTCTATCCGGGGGCAGTTATCCTGCACTGAAAGAAACAGATACCTCAGTCTCTCCCCAGTGTCTAGGATAGACATGGCCAGGTCTTAGCATTATCAACTGAGGAACTAAGGAAAATTTTGCCCTGAATTATTATCCAAATTGCCCTTATATTCTGAATAATTAACCTGTTCATTCACTTTCTCTCTTTCCTATACAATACTTAATGATTTCAGTATTAATGCTCTAGAATAAATGTTAATATATTATCACTTCTTCTTTTTTCTTCAAAAATGTGTAATTCAGCTCTCTGTGATCCAGACTCAGGTATTCTTTTCTGAATCCATTGTTTTCACTTCCCCTACATACCTGCCTATATAAAACACAGTAACCCAGAGGATAGATGTTAAAGCTGTCCCAGGAACGTCACATTAAACGAACTCCAGTGCAAGTCATGGTTAAAGGATGCCAGAGTTAGGTAAACTCTTAATGTTTAACATGGTTCGCAGAAAAGTGCCACAGTGTTAATCATTAACATTTGTAATTTACAAACAGCCAAAAAAGATACCCCACAAAATCTATAAACTCAGTATCCTGGCATCCCAACTTTGGGCAGGAGCCGCAGGACCCTCCATGCAGAGGTGCTGCCACTGAGCACCCCATCACTCAGGTGGCGGCTGCAGACGCAAAGTGGGTTAGTCACAGAGGTTTCTCTCTAGCTCAGGCACTAGTCCCACAAACACAAAGGCTTTTATAACACCACTCACCTTTAAGTCTGGCATTCTTATCCACCCAATCACCAATGATGGCTCCTAGGACCAGAACAGACCCTGCCACCACCAGCCCGTAGACTGCAGTCAAGAGAAGGCTGTTTCCATAGAGCTCTACCAGAAACACAGACACTGCAAAGTGCCACATCCGATCCCCCTTGAATAAGAGAAGATAAAAGGTTCTGATAAAACATTGTACGTTGCTAGTCAATTATACTCAAGAAGTTGCTTCCTTAACAAAAGGGCACTTTCCGGCTACATTATGAGATTCTCAAAGTCAACAATTCCTCTATGGATTGAATGTAGTCAGGTGTTAAAACTGTTTGTCCTGGCACAATGGAAAATATTCTTGCCCAGATACTAAGTAAACCCGAAAAAAGCATGATGTTAATGAAACAAACGTACTCCCTATCATTCTAGAAAAAAATACAGTTTCCAAGCCCAAGGAGGTTTTTTTGAGATAAAACCTGTTCCTTTTTGTATCAGGTTTCTAGCCAGGCCTGGGATTTACCTATCCTGATTTGAAAGGCATAAAGGAGTTTGCTATTGAACCAGAATGAAACAAGTATAGTTTACAAATATCAGTTATGCCTTGAATGTCAAGAAAGAGCCAGTTTCCCAATTTGTAAAATGGTAAGAATGGACTATATGACCTCTCAAGTTTCTTTTATCTCTAACATTCTAAAATCTATGTTCTATTTTCATAAATAAATTTCAAAGTCATAAAACAGCAGAACAATCAGAAAGATGAAGTTAATATGCGCAAATTCTGGCACCATATGAATGAAGATGTTAGAAATCAATACATAAGTAGTTATTTAGTTATTTTCGACGCAGTAGTTATTTTCAACACAGACGAGTTTTGAAAGGGGAAAAAAACTATTTCTTCACTCCAGAGTATACAGGGAATTTTGGAATTCGTTGCTGCAAAATGTGGAATAACAGAAGCTTTTAAATGAGTCAGGCAAATTAATGTGTAAGAAATCTATAATGGACCTTGTTATGAGCTTTTAGGCTCCATTCCTGACTTGTTAGGTTAACCTAAAACAGGACAACAATGTTCTATCATAACCTATCCCTAAGAAATCACTACAGGAAACTGAATTCCCAGGCTAGGCTCCTTATGGATTGGAAGAAGTACTACACTCCTAGTTCCTTCCAACGTCTCTTAACATCCTCCTGACAAATTTAATGCGTAAGGAGCAAAGTATTATCCTCGTATGGCAAATGCTTTTAAGCATTTAATAAAGGCAAGACAACAATCTTATGCATCCAAAGTTAAACTGATGTGCATATTCTGTAGCAATCATTTACAATAAACTTCATGTACACCAGTATTTCTCAAGTGGGGGGTGATTTTACCTTCTAGGGATCACTAAGCAATGTCTGGCGCTATTTTGGGTTGTCCCATCTGCGAGGATAGATTTGCTACTGGCATCTACAGTCCCCCACAACAAAAAATTATCCAACCCAAGATGTCAATAGTGCCAAGGTACAGAAACTTTGGTGTAGAGGATTATGAACATTGTTTAGAACCACAATTTAAAATTAACATAAGATTAGGGCCTTGAGGGAGAGGGTGAACATGGCCAAGTAAACGTTAAAACAGACACTGGAAGCCAGTGGAAATACCATACGTGAAAGACTGATTCTCACTCAATGGTCTGGAATGTGAGCTCTAGAACCTTCTGCACTCTCAACCCTCAGCACAGTGCACAGCCCAGAGTAGAAACACAACAAATAACTGTGGAATCAACAAAGGAGTGGATATGCAGTGGATCCCGGCTGTAAATGGGTACAGAATGAGACTTATTTATGAACTATATTGTTCTGCTACATTAGATTTGCTCCATGAATGTTCAAGAAGTCTGACGCTTAATCAGTACCATACTTCATATTTCTGGGACAGCTTTTGAAAGTTTGCTTTGAAAATAGAAATCTTTTCCATTTACGTTGGAATTCCATTTCAAATACCCTTGTACTAAATGACTAAAAATATATATACACATACAATTTGTAACCAATAAAAAGACAAGTTTACACATTAAGATAAAAATGTCAATAAGAATTGGGGCTTCCCTGGTGGCGCAGTGGTTGACAGTCCGCCTGCCGATGCAGGGGACAAGGGTTCGTGCCCCGGTCCGGGAAGATCCCACATGCCACAGAGCGGCTAGGCCCGTGAGCCATGGCCGCTGAGCCTGCACGTCCAGAGCCTGTGCTCCGCAACGGGAGAGGCCACAGCAGTGAGAGGCCCGCGTACCGCAAAAAAAAAAAAAAAATGTCAGTAAGAATAACAAATTAAGCTATTTTCTTAATCTTTAACATGAGAAACAAATTTAGATTTGATTAGAATAAAATGGCATGAGGTGAGGGGAGGTACTTTATCCTAATCTCTATTCCTCTGAAAAGACAAAAACATATGAATGCCTCAAATGATAGGCTGCCTCCCTGAGTGAATTTCCTCTTTCTTAACATAAAGAATAAGAAATATTATCCCACTACTATTGCTTCTTCCTTTTTGAAAAAAATTTATTTTTATTGAAGTATAATTGATTTACAATGTTGTGTTGGTTTCTGGTGTACAGCAAAGTGATTCAGTTATGTGCTCTTTTCCATATTCTTTTCCATTATGGTTTATCACAGGATATTGAATATAGTTCCCTGTGCTATACAGTAGGTGCTTCTTTCTTTCTTTGTTGTTTTATTTTTTCGCTTTAAAGCAGGACTTGAAACAAGTGCTACGAAATGAAAGTTTTCTCTCTTGCTTATGCCCTGTATGGCATGCCTCCTCCTTGATGGACAGGAATAAAACTGCTCCACTTGGGACTTCCCTGCTGGCTCAGTGGTTAAGAATCCAACTGCCAATGCAGGGGACAGAGGTTTGAGTCCTGGTCCGGGAAGATCCCACATGCCACAGAGCAACTAAGCCTGTGTTCCCACAAGCCACTACTACTGAGTCCACGTGCCACAACTACTGAAGCCTGCGCACCTAGAGCCTGTGTTCTGCAACAAGAGAAGCCACTGCAATGAGAAGCCTGAGCATCGCTACAAAGAGTAGCCCCCCCTCGCCGCAACTAGAGAAAGCCCGTGCACAGCAACAAAGACCCAGTGCAGCCAAAAATAAAATAAATTAATTAAAAAACAAATAAACAAAAACTGCTCCACTTGCCCCAATTTCCAAAGGGTTTAGGCTTTAAGAAGTAACAGACTCTACACTCACAAAGCCCAAGAATCAGGTAAACTCTCTGTAAAGGTTGACTAAGTGCAATCTCAGGCCCACCCAGCCGTTCCTTCCTAACATCCATTTCCTGCCCACCCACAAGCTCTCATCATACTTTGAAGATTTGTTTACATGTTCATCTACCTCCAGTGCACTGAGAGCCAAAGGCCAAATGAATGTCTGGGAATGAATGATCACAGTCATTAATGCACTGAATACTTTTTGAGAGGCTACTATGTACTCAGCAATACTGCAGGCACTAGAGATTCAGCAGTGCGCAAAAATCAATTCATGCTTTCATGCTGCTTGCATCCCAGTGAACAGAGACCAAAAACGAATCTAGAATAGGTCAGGTGGTATAAATGCTATGAGGAAAAATGCAGTAGGGTGGGGCAGGAAGGTGGCATTTTGCATGAAGTAGTTAAAGACCTATGAGAGAAACCCAAGGAAGTAAGATCGGGCACCATGCAGACATATGGCGTATAAATGGAGACAGTCCATAGCATAATGCAGAAGATATCAGCACTGGCCACCCTTTTTCACTGCCCTACACTGTTAGTTATTCTTTTGTAATTAGGTATATTTTTTTAAAGCCCAACCTGAATTATATTATAAGCTCCTTGATGACAGGATCCACTTCTTACCATACTTTGTATTCCAGTAGTATAGAGTAAAATATATTGATCCACTGGCAGAAAGAAATGAAGTCAGAAATAAAAAGTATTCAACCTCACACAAACCTAATGCAATATAACCTTCTACCCTAACACCTCTATACTCAAGTGTATAGGAAACCATGACTCGGCAGAGTCAGTAGGGTAATGCCTAGATAGGCATGCACATGTATGTATATACATATATAATAAATAAGCAGACATCTTTTGTTGTAATAAAATCAGGCAAAGTGTCAAACAGGAGACAAAACTCAAAAGATTGAATTAGAGAGCAGTCCTCTTTTACACTCCTCCACAATAAGTGAAAATCCACTACAACTTACACGACTACAATTGCTGTGTTTTGTTTTGTTTTAATCCAAGTTTCCCACAAGAACTCCTTTTGCTCAATTTACTGTAAGACTGGAGTAAGCATCTGTCACTTTTCTTGTGTTTTCCATTCATGACAAAAAAGATCCTCCTGGAACAACCACAGTTCCACTCCTTTGGCAAATCTGACCTGCCAACCTAATAACGAAAGGTCGCATAAACCTTAAACTTAATCAGTGTTTGGAAGTTAGGCACCTTCTTCCCCTAAGAGATAGGTCCAGACCACAAGGTGAGAATTTCAGATACTATCTCCATCACTTACTGGGTTTTTTAAAATACTTAATACTTACTGAATTAAATTGGAAGAACAATTTAATTGGATTTAAATTAATTAGGGGTAGTTTCACTCAATTTCTATTCAGAATCATCAGTTATTGGAAATGAAACTCACGCCAAGTCCACCTTGTTTACATGTATTTTCAGAGTCATCCCTGTCTAAGCCTCTGGGGAGAAAGAAGCTGGCCTTTCTAAAAAAGCCATCTTTGAACTGCTATTTCTTAAAGAGCTGATAACTTAGCTTAATAATTTCCCAAGGGCATGGGTACAGATTTCCTCATACAATAGTTTGCATTCATGTCTTAAGAACGATCCAAAAGAAGTTTCCAGTTTAAAAAGAAAATAACATTCACAAAATTTACTCTCAAAATTCTTTCCCCTTACTTACGGTTCTTTTAAATTAAATATCATACATGAGGCATGAATAGAATTTACACAGGTTTATTGCTTTTAAACAGTAAGACCAATTGTTTAATTTAAAAGATTCTAATCATCATTAATTAAATACACATCTAGCATCCCTTGGGGATTATTCTTTTGGGTTGAGGAGTGTTGATGGAGGAATCCAGGCCCACAGAAACACTGGGACTCTTCCAAGACCATGGAAGAAGTCAGAGGGAGACTTATGAGTCAGTTGCTGATTTTCGTTGGATGATGGTTTTTAAGATAGACTGAGATGTCCCACACATATCTAGCTACAGATAACATTTTAAAAGACCAGAATTTACACCACTCAGATATTTGTTCTTGGGGTCAATTATATTTAAATTAACCTTAGAATGCTATTTTTAGCCTAACTCAGTCACTCCACTATTCTACTGTATGTTCATAGCACAGTAGGCTGGAACTTATAATTTTAACAAAAGAAGAAAACAGAGAAATATCTTAAAATGTGAAAAAATAGAAGGTCCGTGAGACATCCATCCATTCTTAGTAGCAGATATTACCATTTATTAACCCTTGTAATGCAAAATACAATTTACAAACAATGCAAATAGTCCTGTCCTTGTTAATCCTGTTTTTGGATAGCTGCCAGTCTACATAAAGTATGATAGCTCAATAATTAATAGCATTTACTAACACCTATGGGAAAATATCTTTGGTGGAAATAACTTTTTTGTTAGCGCATGTATGTTTGGTTGATTTATTTCTTTAGCTGCATGACAAAACTGTAAAATGGCTTAATACAACTGGCCCAAATGAGAGGCAACAAGAAATTGTGCAAGCATGTTGTAAGAATTACTGTAGATTTTCACTTACCCATGTAGATAGAGAATGACCAAGGTAGAGAAGGAATTTTGCAGAGATCAGGTAGTTTGCTAAGGATCCTGCAAAGACACACAGTAGGCAGATAAAAAGCGTATTTAGTCACTTGAGTGAGCTGAGATTGGAATGCTTACTCATTTGTCCTTATTAAACATAATTATTAAAAACTACTTTGTGGGGCAAACCATGTACATTTCATCAAGTCACCTAGAAATTGATGGGTCGATGAAAAATTCAGCACGACCTCTTGGTCAATAACTGCATAACTTCACATACAGTGAAAAAAGCTCTTGTTTCAACATTCTTTAACTCCATTTTATTTTTGACAAGATAATCCAAACTACCCAGTCTACTTCTCCATCCTTGCCTGTGTGCACGCCCCTTTCCCCATACCTTGAAATGCCTTTCTTCCTTAACCCCCAACAAAATATGAGTCCAACGAGCTACTAATCACACTGGTTAACAGCTGAGCCACATTCCTCCAAAACCTGCGTGGAGGTGCCGGTCTCCACTGCGCAACCTGTTTCTACCACATGCGTTCGGTCCACTCACCACAGCATCTTCCCAGGCGGTTTTGCTCTCTTGCCCTGGTCATGACACCAGGCGCCCCCCGCTTGCTCTTCTGCTGCTACGGCTGCCGCTCCTGCTGAGGTGCTTGTTAAGAGGAGTGCAAGGAACTGAAGAGAGCACCGTTGAAAACACAACAGCTCTGTGCAAAAAGCCTCCGACGACGACTATACCAAAAAAAACACAAAAAAACAAAAGGAAAACGGCCCGGGGGTCTTCTTTTGGTCTTCCTTCCAAACTTAGCCAACACTGTAGCTGAAGTTGGAAAGGCAAAGCCTTATGGAAGCGGGTGGGAAGGCTCAACAGGCCGGCCGAGCTGCGTCGGGTGCCCTGTTTGTGCTGCCGCCACCGCCGCCGCCGCCGCCGCGGGCCCGGCTCAGGCCGGCCCTTATACGAGGCCTGGGGCGGAGCTCCGGCCGCCGCCGCTCGGGCCGCCCCTCCCTCTCAGGGCCATCTGGGCGTCCCCGCAGCGCGAGGCCAGGGGCCCTGCCGCCCTCCACGCCCTTGCCAGGAGTCGCCGCCCGCCCGCGGCGCAAGGGTCCGACTGGCCGCGAGCAACCCGCGAGCCTGCGGGGACCGTCGCCGGACGAACTCTGCTCGCCGGGTTTTCCGCCCTCCGGGAGGCCGCGAGAAGAGATCGGGGAGGTCGGGCGGCCGGGAAGGGCAGGACCACGCGCCCAGCCGGCGGGGCGGCGGGGAGAGGCGAGCGGCAAGGCCGGGGCCGAGCCGCGCTTCTTTGCACTAGCTGCCTGGCCAGTCGGGGAGAGGGCGGCCGCCAACGGTCGTCGTGCAAAGCACCAGCCCAGGCTTGGGGGTGGGGGAACATCCTTTTTTTTGTTTTGTTAACGAAAATCATTTTTAATATAGGTATCTAAATAAATATAATCCGTGTCACAGTGGCCGCTTTCCTGGCCTTCCCATTCCGGCCCGCCTGCGGCAGAGAATGTCTTTTCTTCCCAGGACTGCATAGCGGGGCTTCCCTCAAAGAGCTAGAATCAAAGGGCAGGAAGGGGCGCAAAGATCAGAGTACAGCCCTCTTCAGAGGAGTAAACGGAACCTTGGAAAGGTTAAGTCCCGCAGCGACTCAGGCACCCAGCTCTAGCCCAGAGCTAGGGTCTCCAAATCCTTCCTGAAGATGCAACCAGGAGGAAGCAGCCCAAGCGTTTCCTTTACCAACCTTCCTTCTCTCTCAGCGCCCTCTGGCCCTCGCCCGCACCCACGCGTCCCTTCCCCACCTCTCCTCCAAGTGGCTTAGTATATAGCACAGGCAGTTACCAGGAATACCGGTTATCCCAGTTGTGTCCCTGTCCAGATAAAGCCATTCGGTGGCCTCCTGGAGGGGCCAGTGAATGACTCTGAAGAACACCAGACTTGAACCTTCCTTGACTCTTCCACCTCCACCCCTACCACCTCTGTGCCAGAACCCCTGGAGTCCCTATAGCCCCCCTGGTTACCTTACCCTTCTCAATCTCCTCAAAACCGGGGGACTGGATCCTACACATTGAAACTCCAACGAGATTCCACACCCTGAGCACAGGCCGGACTGACACCCAGTAGTGAAAGGAGACACACGGGAATATATGCCCTGTTATCTAGACTGGCAATTAGGAGCCGCAGAGTTCGAGGGGCGGGGTGCAGCTGGATTCAGTTGGGATGTGGTCTGGAGGTCAGAGATAGGGGATTTACAGTTTAGGTACTGCTGTTAACTGCCTTTGTCCTTTTCAAGCCTTCTTTTTTTTTCCTTTCTTTCAAAACACTTTCAAGTCCTTTCTCTTCTCTCCTGGAGAAGTTTGGTTTGTTGTCTGAAGTTGGAGAACAGGGTCATGTATCCACACGTCCTTGAGAAGTAAACCAAGGCACACTCACATGAGGCACCTGCAGAAGGAGGGAACAGAGGAATCAAACCCCTCCACATTATGGCAACCTCTTACTGGAGATGAATTTTGTGGACAGGTCCTCAAGCAAGGCACAAAAGATAATATTTGCCACAGAATATCTCAGCAACAAGGACCTCCAAGCACTTTACATTAATTTTTACTTGCCATAAGGGGAGCGCTGTGCTGCCCCCAACTTCCAGGTAGCTTAAAGGAGATTCAGTTCGTTAAAAAAAAAATTTCTTCCGGTCCACACTGAGAAATGTTTGTGGGAATAGTAGCTAAGTCATGTATATCTCGAAATGTACTGCGGAGACTCTGTTTTCCATTGTCACCAAGGAGTCCTCAGAAGACAAAACTGAGAGAATGGCGGCAAAAAGAACAGGTGGGAGACTACAGTGAAGCTGTGGAAAAGAAAATTTGGAAAGAAAACAAGCAAGATCCATAACACCAAACCTAGTAATGTGTTTGCGCTTTGGCAGGGGAATCCTAAGTCCTTATTAATGGGAAAAGTCAAGATATATTAGTTGCGGCTTATAAAATGGAAAGGAATTGAAAATGAAATGGAATAAAAAATCCTCAAAATACACGCAAAATGCAAAATGACAGTAATCTCCTGGCCTTGACAGTCTAGATTACAAAGCACCACTTAAATCACAAGACCCAACTGGCTATTCCTCCTTCTGAGGAATGACTTGGCTGGCTGAAAATTAAGATTACTTTCAAAAGTCATATGTATTTTTTCCAGAACTCAGACAACACAACCTTCCCGTCAATGTAATCATAACTAAGGAAGCCATGCAAGTTTTAAATCAGTTTACAAAAGAAAACAGATGCCCTAAAAACCATTTTCTAGTTCATTCTCCAAGTTTTTAAGTTAAATAGGTTAACTAAGTTTTAAAAAATTACAGCCAGAATAAAATGTGCATTTTAATTTAAAATTAATAAGTATTTATGGTTGCAAAATAAAAGAGGTTTATTATTTCATTTTTAAGTTGCTTTTTCACTTACCCATCAGGCATCCTAAGTTTCCTCTGCTGTATCTGATGTGCTCACCAGGACAAATAAATGCGGATTAAGCAATGGACACCACTACACTGCTCTAAAGAAAAATAATAGGGTTATCATCAGCTATTACAGGAAGAGCTCAGATCCAGGACAGAGCTTCTGTTGGGTCTGAAACTTTTTAGCCTAACATAGGAGTGATAAAGCCACGTTGCCATTCAAAAGCCTTTCTCAATGCTGCAGGCATATCTCAAGAACTGTTTGACGATTCTCCAACCTGTAATTTACTGGATCCTTGAGAAATTTACCTTCAGACATCTAATTTAAGTTATGGACATCTAATTGAAAAATAAGTATCCTTCTACGTTTGCATTTTGTTTGAATATTTCAAATAGATTTGACCTTGCAAAGGTTCTCATGAATGCTGACCTCTCATCTCCCTCTCCGTCTCTCTCCCTTTCTCTCCATTTCCCTCTCTCTCTCTGTCTCTCTCATACACACACAGAGATACACTCAGTAGTCTGCAGCCTCTAGTTGTAAAATTAAATGCAGAGTTCAGAAGATTCCAAAAGAAATATATTCCTAAGGCAAATCCATAGAGACAGAAAGCATGAGTGGTTGTCAGGCGCTGGGGTTTGGGGAAGAGGAGAATGGGTAGCGACTGCTTAATGGGTGTGGGGTTTCCTTCTGGTGTGATGAAAATGTTCTGGAACTAGGTAGTGGTGATGGTTGTACAACATTGTGCATGTACTAAAAATTACTGAAATGTATACTTTCAAATGGTGAATTTTATGTTATATGAAGTTTACCTCAATTTCTTAAAAAAATAAATGTATTCATATATGGAAAGTTCGCCATTTTTCAGTAGTAGTATTCATTGGGATAAATGTAGATAGAAAATCTTAAAAAAAGAAAGGATTTGGAAAGAGGAAAAGAGATATCTGGTCCATCACACTCACTGAAAACTCAAAAATCATGGTACAAAATTTATTAGTTTCTCCACGTGCAGCCAGAAAATACCTACAAATTTCATTTAATAAATGTTTCAGTCTCTCAACTTTTGCCATATGTAGTTTCTTTTGCTGTCTAATCTAATTCTCTCATGTTACAATGTAAGGCCCATTCTCTTGTATGCTGTCTTTAGAAACAGAAGGCAGACACTTAGCATCACCACAATATTACTTTCACATTCTCCAAACCTTGATTGGCCTTACCCAGCCTTGCCTTCCTCAGGCTAAAAAAACAGGGATGGATTTCTCTGATTTCTCAAGATTTTAATTGATCTTCTTGGAGCCCGTTTCAATTGCACCATTTGCTTGCAAGCCCCTCACAGCACAGAGGGCCTCACCCATCTGAGCAGAGTTCCCGGGTCACACACGCTCATATCCTTAATCATCTGTCTCAGACACTCCACACTGCATCCCTGTTTCTAAGCAGCACCTTGAAGATGATTCCCACTAAGCTGGCCATACACTTATGCATGACGCTTGCATTCTGGACTCTTAGCAAAAATTTCAGAGTTCCTTAATGTTCCCTTTGTGACACAGTCCATGTGTCCAGTGCAAGAGTCCCTGTTTTCCAGCCCCCTCCTCACTCCAACCTTTTACTGATGTGATCGTTGTCCTGCTCTTCTATTTTGTTTGTTTGTTTTTTGTTTCAGCAAATACTACTTCCATACTGTTAATTTGTTCCTTAAGAGTTTCGTAAGATGCCCAATTGTTAGAACATGTCAATTATGAGTGCAGCATAGTAAAAGATAATGGTGTCTCACAGCCATAAAATCCTGACTAATGGTATCCCTCATCTTGGGTCCCTTGAATTTGTGCACACACAGACCCCGTAATAAGGAAGACCCTAATATGATAAAGAAGACCTTTATCATGCGCCCTGGACACAGCCCTCTTCTTTGATTCAATTAGAAAATACTGACTAGAGTTATTATTTCATCATTTAAGGATAATTTAAAATACAGGGGCTTCCCCGGTGGCGCAGTGGTTGAGAGTCCGCCTGCCGATGCAGGGGACACAGGTTCGAGCCCTGGTCCGGGAAGATCCCACATGCCGCGGAGCAACTAAGCCCATGTGCCACAACTACTGAGCCTGTGCTCTAGAGCCCGCGAGCCACAACTACTGAGCCCACGTGCCACAACTACTGAAGCCCACGTGCCTAGAGCCCGTGCTCCGCAACAAGAGAAGCCACCGCAATGAGAAGCCCGCGCACCGCAACAAAGAGTAGCCTCTGCTTGCCACAACTAGAGAAAGCCCACGCACAGCCGCGAAGACCCAACACAGCCAAAAATAAATAAAATAAATTTATTTTTAAAAATAAATAAATAAAAATAAAATAAAATACAATAAGAAGGTCCTCCCAAGGATGTCTGCCAGAAAAGTTTCACTGCGTTGTTATCTGCATTGAGCTGCATGTATAACAAAAGGCGCCATGTATGTGGAGCACCGTGGCAGATATTAAACAAGGGGCTTATGAGATATTATCTTGTCTCATCTTCACAACACCCCTATGAAGTAATACTATTGTTATTCCCATCGTACACATAAAGAAACTGGAGACTCGGAGAGGTTAA